GGAGGAATATGGGAAGAAAAAGGAGTTGAAAAGAACAGATGAGCTAATCATGAACTTCAATTCTGTGCTCAGCACTGTGTTGGGTTATCACTAAATCAGATTAAATTGATCTCACTGTAAAAAGCTTCCTGTATCACAAGAGCCAAGGTTAAGACAAAACAATAACTAAGGAATTCCAGTGGAATAAAACCAAGAACAACTGCATTCAGCTTTTGCAAACTGAGGCAACAAAAGTTGCTATAAATTGACTGCAATCAAAGTAAAATTAGTCCTTGTCATTGCCCAAGATGAAAAAAAAAAATCAATAGGGAATGGTGAAAAGTGAATTCACACATTAAGAACTCAGTTTTAAAGTTTTCCCAGGTCTAAGTTATAGCAGGTTAAATATTCAACATGCCTTGACCTTTGTTATACAGACAGCAGAAGATGCAGCGAAGCGTCCCACGCCTCTCGCCCTCAAACCTCCCTCAGTTAATATAACTAATTGAGGACACGAGATGTTACTTTTTAAGACAATAAAAACAAGTTAGGCGATCGATTTAAAAATAATCCAAGTACTGCATATAACGATTAAGGTAGTATTTTCTTTCTAGTTGAAGGCTTAATTCTACCATCACATGAATTTTCATTCCTCTGCTGTGCTCAAAACTGAAAGCCTGGGGAGTCAGGACTGATATATAGAAAGAGTGGTGCTGTCTTCCAGACTGAGCAGTGTCTTGAAAGAATTAATCTGGAGGCCTGAAACCAGATGTCCCCATCTCATGTGTTCCAGATGAGGACCACATTTTTTCACAGCTCTCAACAGGATTTAGTGAGAACTCTTATTTTACCTAGTATCAGGCAATGTATAGGCAAACCTACAAAAAAGAATTTTCAAGTGGCATGGCTGCTTCCTACAGTAGCAGCGGGATGCAGCAGACTGATAAAGCAAAAATCCCCTGATAGGATGAACTGACAAGTTCCAGGCACCTCAAGCAGAATGGGTGAACAGATCAAAGATATTTGCTTATCCTCAACTCACATTTTAACCAGCAGGCGTTGTGAGCCACAAAAGGAAGAGTGAGAAAGCGTTATTCTGTTCTAAATACCGAGGAGGCAGATCTATACACACAACCTGAGGATGGACTTTCAAGAGGTATCTATAAAGAAGCAGCTGGTGTACGAAAACACCGTGATTCAGCTGATGTATTTCTATGGTGCTTTAGTTTACAGAAGTTTAGGGCCTAATTATTTAGATTTTCCAAGAGAAAAGCAGCAGTAAAGAAAAATCCACAAAACTTTGGCAGCTTCACATCCTGAACAGTATTCTGTTGGTTGCTCATCTTGCGCTGACTCACCCAACGTACTGGAAGCCCAGACTCCTCTGCTTCAGGAAAGCTCCCTAGCCCCAGGGCTGTTTCAGAGGCACGCCTGTATCTCAACCAGCAATCACCAGCAGTAATGATTAATCACAGATAAACTATGCTGTACTCACTTGTGTGTTCTTCCTTGAAGTCCATTTTATTGAATTCTGGCTTTGAAAAGGCCACAGAAAACAGAGCTAATCCGTGTGCTTTTCCGCTATGCCGCACTTAGCCTTCCTAGCAGGAAAAATGACAGCTGGAGGCTGGCCTGGTTCAATTACTTTGTGGTCTGTAACAATCCTCCTTCACAAAATCATTTTAAAGTACTAAAATCCAATCTAATAACTTGTCACTAAAGGCACACACCTAAATTATGAAAGCCTAGCTGTAGATAAACGAACTGTCCTGAATATCTTGTGTGCCTCTAACTGCAGAAAGTAACTGCAATTCACAAAACCAAGAAATTCTTTCCTTCTTTCAGAAATATTTCTCACAAAACAATTGGCTTGAGAATAAAACATGGCTGGGTTTTATTCAAGCAGTGGGACTTGGCTATTGAATAGGATTTGGCAAAGAAAAAGGAAACCTAGAAGGGAACAAGTGATGCCAGCTGTTACCTTGCGGATTTCCTCCCCCTCCCCAAATTCCAGCAGACATTGAACGGTTGTGCCTTACTCCCTAATCCCCATGGACATACTGACAGTATCATTTACTGCACATTGAGGAAATCTTTTTGCAACATGTTTATGCAGTGGGCTTGCCCCTCTGCTCTGCGATAGCATTGTCAGACTGTACAACACAGCAATCTGAAAATAAATCAGTACAGATAGGGGGATAACCTACCAAAGGCATATCCCATCCCTCTTAAATCTCTTTTGCCATTACCAAAGCCATAACATCTTCTAAATTAAGAGATCTCTGCTGTGCTGCCAGAAGACACATTAGCCAAGGGGATTGCAAACAGGTGTAAAACCAAAGGGGTTAGCTATGCAGAGGTTGATTTCTTTGCCAGTCACACAGCATCACACACCCCCACTGTTCCACGTGGCTGAAGTGACTCAAATCTGCTTTACTCATAAGACATACTTGTCCTACATGAAGAGCCTGGAATACAGTTTGAGTAAAAGCCTCCTCCTACTGGCCAACCCAAATGGTCCTCAAGGGAAGAGAGATGGGAGAAGGAGCCGGGCAATGAAAGGAAACCTCCAAATTCCTTTTGGAAAATCTGTTTAAGACCTCCAGTGACCTTTGCCACACGGAAAATAAAAGGCCTCTTTTGCCTTGGTCTCTACACACTTACAGAATTTGTATTAAACACTGTACGAACTCTGCTGCCTCTCACCCCAGCTCTCAACTTCCCTCTCAGACGAATAACACAAGAGCTTTGCTGTTAGCCATGGCAGAGGGTCAGTGACAGACTCCTACCCAGCCCTGGCCTCCTGACCATCATCCATCTAATTGAGGACCACACTAACAACAGGAGGTGAAGGTGGACTGCTTTAGTGCAGAAGACCAACCAATATTTTCTCAAGTTCACAGAAACAGTGGCAATGTCTTCACCTACAGTGCTATTTTGAACAAAACCTGGTGCTCCAGCACAGGATGCGATTAATCAAATGCACACAGAACCTTCGGGAGACACCCTTCCCCACGTGATACTCAGTCATCAAGATACTTTGGCTGTTGTCCAGAGCAAGTGATGAATAATTGTAAGAAATCACTGAAGGTACAAAACCCTTTGTTTTTAATATCTTTACAGGAACCAAATTAATACAGTTCCTCTGTCATCTTATTCTCCCTCAGAGGGAATGGAGAGAAATTGCATCTGGAAATCCAGGTGGTTGAGCCCTGTAACTCTTCTTCCTGAATCCCCACATAAATAAACATTTGTTCATATTCAGAATTTTTCTGTTTTTTAAAACAAAATCATTTGCCTTTTTCTTTAAGCTTGGTACCATGTTTCTTTAATGCTGTTGTTGTGAGATACTGCACCCATCTTTCAGCATTTGATTGCCTTAGGTGGCCTTTTTAAAATGGTCCTATGGTTCAAAGCTCTGAGAAGCACAGTATTAAGGCATAGAAAATGAGGAGTTTTCTTTCCAGGGAGCAGATTGTATTTGTGTTACATTCCTTTAGATGCTGAACTGCAAATCCCATCCCCTTGGAGCCAAAAGGGGAAAAGACAGTTAAAAATATCCCAGCAGTCATACAATCAGTTGTCTGTATTTTTTGAATCTTTTTTAAAAAAAAAAAGGAAAAAATATCCCATTGGTAAAGACAGAACAGAGTTCCAGGTATGGGTTCTTGGGAGGGGTTTTCCGTTCTTTTTGGCACCTTGTGATTCTAACAGCTGTTGACCTCCCATTTAAAAATCTGACTTTAAAAAGAGCTCTTTATCCGCTATGTTTTGAGCTGTTACAGTTGTGGTTTGTTTTCTCTGAAAGCTGCTTTAGGGGCTGCTGCCATCCCACGCCCACCCCGCATCACTCCAGCTCCTCCCACCGGTTCTTCATTCACTGGTTGCCTGTCCTTGTGGCATTGTAGATGTGATGACTCCAGTCTGGGCTGGGACTGCTCCACTGGACTCTTCTATCCGGGGTCTTTTGACTTCAGGTTCACTGGAAGAGGCTGCTGCTGTCTCTTCGGTCCCTGTCTCACATACCCGGCTGACTACAACAGGAGTGGATGAGCTGGCCTGGGCTGCAAGAAGCTGCAATGGATTTGTAAGAGCTGGGAAGTAGGACAAGAGAGAGAAAGAGAATTAACGTGATGAAGTAGCACAAGCGTTTGCTACTCCAGAAAGCAAGAAAATAAAACACCACAGTCAAAAGCGATAGCTGGCACATAATCAAGTGTTATTTTCAAGTCCGTTTTGAAAGGCTTGCTAGCCTTGTCTCTCCCTCTCCCCCCACAATCTCAGCTTTGTGCAAGTTTACCAAACTGGTAATAATCCCTTTCATAGGAGAACTTCCTTCTTCCTATCTGTTGTCAAATAAGGCATTGCCAGATAAGCATTCATCTCCAGAAGGGGAGGACCAAGCCCCTGTTAAAATTACAGCACATCTCTTTGAGAGGTAATTCTCTGGCCACCTACAATCAGAACTTCTTGCAAGCTACAACATTTGTGTGCTGTGCCTTCAATTTAGAGGGCTCTCTAGCCCTGCTTGCACAATAAGAACAGCCAGTCTGTTGGGAAACTAGATTAGAATCCAAATATTGAGTGTACTGACATCTCACTTGTAAAAGGGGCAGGAAAGAGCTTACCCCAGGCAACCAAATGCATTCCCATCAGAACTGGGATCTGAACGTAGGAATTTCTGGCTCCCAATCTTGTATTCCAGTACTGACAAAAGATCTCAACCTCCCATTAGTAGAAGTGGTGAGAAAAAAAGACGATTTAAGTAGCAACCCTTTGTAAATATGTCTACAATTCCTAGTTCCAGACAGAGAATGTGCTTACACACTGGCTTTGGCACACAACACTGCTTGGAAAACGAAACACATGCAGTTTTTGGCCTCTGCATCAATCGGAGAGGCAGCCAAAGGGGACTCAGGAGACAGCACATCTTCCGCCCTCCAGACTGATTTGCAAGGGATGGAATGACAGAACATTAGTAGTGTGTTCACTGCTAAGTGCATAAAAAAGGAGCCCTAGGATAAATAAACAAAGCAAACGGAAAAAAGGTGTCTGTATTTTTTGAATCTTTTTTTAAAAAAAAAAAGGAAAAAATATCCCATTGGTAAAGACAGAACAGAGTTCCAGGTATGGGTTCTTGGGAGGGGTTTTCCGTTCTTTTTGGCACCTTGTGATTCTAACAGCTGTTGACCTCCCATTTAAAAATCTGACTTTAAAAAGAGCTCTTTATCCGCTATGTTTTGAGCTGTTACAGTTGTGGTTTGTTTTCTCTGAAAGCTGCTTTAGGGGCTGCTGCCATCCCACGCCCACCCCGCATCACTCCAGCTCCTCCCACCGGTTCTTCATTCACTGGTTGCCTGTCCTTGTGGCATTGTAGATGTGATGACTCCAGTCTGGGCTGGGACTGCTCCACTGGACTCTTCTATCCGGGGTCTTTTGACTTCAGGTTCACTGGAAGAGGCTGCTGCTGTCTCTTCGGTCCCTGTCTCACATACCCGGCTGACTACAACAGGAGTGGACGAGCTGGCCTGGGCTGCAAGAAGCTGCAATGGATTTGTAAGAGCTGGGAAGTAGGACAAGAGAGAGAAAGAGAATTAACGTGATGAAGTAGCACAAGCGTTTGCTACTCCAGAAAGCAAGAAAATAAAACACCACAGTCAAAAGCGATAGCTGGCACATAATCAAGTGTTATTTTCAAGTCCGTTTTGAAAGGCTTGCTAGCCTTGTCTCTCCCTCTCCCCCCACAATCTCAGCTTTGTGCAAGTTTACCAAACTGGTAATAATCCCTTTCATAGGAGAACTTCCTTCTTCCTATCTGTTGTCAAATAAGGCATTGCCAGATAAGCATTCATCTCCAGAAGGGGAGGACCAAGCCCCTGTTAAAATTACAGCACATCTCTTTGAGAGGTAATTCTCTGGCCACCTACAATCAGAACTTCTTGCAAGCTACAACATTTGTGTGCTGTGCCTTCAATTTAGAGGGCTCTCTAGCCCTGCTTGCACAATAAGAACAGCCAGTCTGTTGGGAAACTAGATTAGAATCCAAATATTGAGTGTACTGACATCTCACTTGTAAAAGGGGCAGGAAAGAGCTTACCCCAGGCAACCAAATGCATTCCCATCAGAACTGGGATCTGAACGTAGGAATTTCTGGCTCCCAATCTTGTATTCCAGTACTGACAAAAGATCTCAACCTCCCATTAGTAGAAGTGGTGAGAAAAAAAGACGATTTAAGTAGCAACCCTTTGTAAATATGTCTACAATTCCTAGTTCCAGACAGAGAATGTGCTTACACACTGGCTTTGGCACACAACACTGCTTGGAAAACGAAACACATGCAGTTTTTGGCCTCTGCATCAATCGGAGAGGCAGCCAAAGGGGACTCAGGAGACAGCACATCTTCCGCCCTCCAGACTGATTTGCAAAGGATGGAATGACAGAACATTAGTAGTGTGTTCACTGCTAAGTGCATAAAAAAGGAGCCCTAGGATAAATAAACAAAGCAAACGGAAAAAAGGCCCTCAAAGCCCAGCAACTTCTACCAAGGCATGGGAAGGAGGCTGTAGAGTATCAAGAGGATGAAGGAAAAAAAAATAGCGTAAGGATGAGGGCAGTCACCAATTACAGTTCAGTGACTTAGAGAACCTAAACCATGCAGCTGAAGAGAAGTTCACTTCGTACAGGCAAGAGTCAAGAGACTCAGGCTCCGTTTTGTCAACCAGAAAATTCACTGTCACTTACAAAAAAACCCCTCAGATGCAACTGGAATATTTTCCAATTCAACGAGAGCGCTAGAAAAATTTTAGTGAGATTAGAATATCTTAACATAAAAATGTTAGATAAAAACTGTCTGATTCTACGTTACACAAACACTACTGCTGGGTAATAGCAACTCCACCTATCTGATCTATTTAATATCTTAGTTGCATAAAAACCTTATTGCTATCATTTTTTCATTGCTCCAATAAGATTCCTGCAATTCAAGTGCACGTCAGGTGATACTGCGAATAGACACGGCAGAAAATTCTGTAGAAACATTCCTAGTTCACTTCATGAAAGCCATCAAAATCCCACCAGTGCCCTTCATTTCAAACTCTCTGTAAGGACGAGCCTGGGACAGCAGAGGTGCTTAGCACATCATTGAAAAGGGGAGTAAGAAACCTGGATATTACCATCCCCAGTCATCATCCTTAACTGGACAAAACCTGAGGTGCTGAGCAAGCAGTAAGAGGAGGCTGTCAAGACATAGCTAGTATGGGATTTTAAAAATCAGGCTTGACAAATGACTAGAGCACATCCTGTATATAAGAAATCCTACATTCATTCACCTGATGAAATTGATCTTATTTCTCTCAGGCTCTAAGACCTTAAGATGGGAAAGTATGTTATTTTCTTAATACTCTATGGAGTCGTATTTCACAAGATCTGAAGAGCACCATAGAAATTTTATTATTTGGCATGCTGAAAGCAAAGGCTGTTTGTCAGAGGAAAATGAAATGAAAACAGGCTCTACACAAGAATCACTAACACTTTCAACAAGTAACCCTCAAAAGGTAGAGAGTATAAGTAGTAATAAATGCCTAGCCAAGGACAAAGGAAAGACACTGGACTTTTCAGAACCAATGGTAGATAGCAAAACTTTTCCACCAGGGAAAGGGAGCAAACAGAGGTGGACAGAAGGATATCTACCACTGACATTTACAGCCACAGAAGTTGAAGAATTGATAACCTTTGGAACTGGACACATGGAATAACTTGCATAGCTAAGAGAAAACCCTTACAGCTTTAAAACCTAACTGCTAAGTTCAGAGAGCAATCAAAAACCAGAAAGCAATGGAAACAGGGCCTACCATAAGCACTGCCGGTGATGCTGTTGGTGGGGACGGCATGTTTCCCGTTCTGAGTGACTGCCCGCACAGGGAGCTGATGCTGTCCAATGGTCACTGGAGCTGCCTGCTGAAGGATCGTGACTGTCTGTCCTGGAACACCCTGTGCCATTTGACTGGCAACTGTCTGAATAACACGGCTGGCTGTAGGTATCGTGGCAAATGCAATTGTTGGCTTTTCATCCATGCCTGCTTAAGAGTAGAACAGACAACAATCATTTACCACCCTGGCTTAGGAGCAGGCTTTATTCTCATTACCATTTTAGCAGTGATACATACCCCAGGCTTACAAATGTGAAAATACCTCAGCACCGCAAAGTCACTTGCCTTTGATGTGTCCTACAAGGTTTACAGAGTGGGAGCAGAAAGCATTGCTTCTCAGGCTGAGGCAGCTTAGTCACAAAAGTAACATATTTGGGCTCCAAGGAGCCGAGAGTATTCCTAGAGGCCTAATACTGTGAGAAGTGCCCAAAACTCCTGCCCAGGCAGGATCAGGCTCTACACACACACACTTTCTGCAGGCTGATTCATACAGTGTAGTCAGCTCTGAGAAGGTAATGGTTCACTCACCCTGCTCATTAGGGGAAGAACACTGTAATCAGGGACATAAGAATAGGGAAGATTAGTCCCTCTGAAATGCTTATTTTGAAGCACATCAGAAGGTCAGGGATGAATATTTGAAAACAATAAAATGTTCTCTATTGCACATATACTCTATCAATATTAAGAACATTTTTCTTACAGCATAAGCCACCCAGCCCCAAAAAAAAGATTATGAATTTGACCCTTTGTCCTAAAAAGGCATCATCTCCCTTATTGGCACATTATAGCTGTGATATGGACAGCAGTCGCTGCAAGTCTCATAGCTTGCTTTGTAATTACAGGCTAATTGGCCTGATTTTCAATACCACACAGCAGGAGAAGGCATTAAGATCTTAAACAATGCCTTGAGCCAAAAGTCTACAACAGCTTGCTGTCAGGCCTGCACACAGGTTGGTTTACAAGGGGGTCTTACCACAATTGCAAGCTTTTGCCAGCTATGGAAGTACAGGAAGAAACCAGGAGGGATAAAAAAAAAAAGGAGTAAAGGAGGGCTGAGTTCCTGGATAGAGATAACTGTTTGAGAGCACTCAACCACTTATCTCACTTCCCAGGACAAGTAAGGGGTCAATTCAGTAGGTATGTAACAGATACAGGACAGCCTCCTGCTGGGCATGCAGGAGAGGAGAGCCGTTCCAGGGGCTTTGTGGGTCTCAAAGCAGAGAAGGCAGGCAGGAAGCACAAACTCATTAGTCCTGTAAGAAGAGAAGACTTCTCCCATTTTAACATTAGAAGACAACAAGAGTGGAGTTAGGTGGGACATAAGCATTGAACTGAGACCTGCAGGCAGGCTGATGGAAAGCAGGGAGAGAAAAGGCAAGGAAAGCTGGAGGAACCAGGAAAGCAAGGAAAATGGAGCAACCAGGAAAAACAAAGGGAAGGTAGAGACTAGAAAAGGATATGAGTAGGAATAAGAGAGGGACAAGTAGGGAAAGCACGAGTGACAGCAAGAACTAGTGAATGAAAGAACGGAGCAGGTGACAGAGGCAGCTGCAACTGTTAGCTCTTCAAGAACATGTATGGGATCCAGACAGAAATTTCTAGAGAATGTGCATGAAACTCAAGCAGGATAACCAGTGCTGAACTAAAAATGCCAGTGGTCCTGCTATTGCTGTAGGGGAAGGTCTTTGTCATTTTTTTCTTTCCCTTAGAAAAGAACCATTGCCCCACTGCTCACATAAAAGCAATCAGAGTAACTAGTCTTAGCTGCTGGTACAACACACATGTATCTTCTAGCACTAAGCCCTTCTGAAATGGCCAGCAGACAAGGTGTTGTCTGGATCACAGCAAGAGAACATTTAACTCCCTAAATCCCCCAAGGCTGGAATTTCCAGCTTAGGAAAAAGAGGCCTTTGTTGTAACTGGTTTTTGAAGATTGCTTTAATGAGGCACTGCCTGCACTTCCAGAAGCACATGCTTTCCTCTAGGAATCCAGGCCTGAGGAAGAGAAGGGCTCTATCATTTATTTACAAGGCCATCCTGAAGCAGAGTTTCAGCCTTTCCCAGGCCATCTCTTTTGGCTAGAAAAAGCATACATTTCCATAGCACATCCAGCTGACCAATACACAGGCATAATATTGATATTGGGAATAATCTAAATATTTAAAGCACTGCATGTTTCTTCAGCCTCCAAAGTCTGTTACATTTGTTCCCCACAGGAGACAAGGGAGCACAGTTGTCTGCTAACTGGTAGACACATTAAATTGATGAGCTCTTACTTGGTTTAAGTTTTACCTGGAGAAAGATCTTTTATTAAGGGCTAAGCACCCAGTGAACGAAACAGTATTTGACCACCTGCCCCCCCAAGCCTGCTCAAGACTTATTAGCAGAGTAGCAGGGGAAGTGAAAAGCTACCTCGGTGGTCACCAGCTAAGTCCAGCACTGCTCCTGCAGCTTCATGAGCTCCTCCTGCTGTGCCCTGATTTGTGAGGATGTATCCATTTGCAGAATTTGCAGAGGAGGTCACAACTCGGACCATTGTAACAGTGGGAGCTTGTTGAACTACGTGAATTGCATGACATGAAGGCTGTTGAGAAGTCACTATTGATGCTGGCATGTACGCGACTGGTTTTGCCACCAGAGTAGATGGTCGGGGAGGAACAGCCATAATCACTGGCTGGGCACTGACTGGAGATCCTAAACAGAAAAGAGAAGCATACGTTAATAGGAGAGGCAAAAAGGCCTCCACTCATTTCACCTACGTGCTTCTAATCAGCAATACTCAGTCCTTCAGCATTGGCAGGAGTGGGGGTAGGGAACAAAAAGTAAGGCTTCAAAAATACCACTTTCAATCTTCTCTTTCCTAACTTACAAAAACCTTACTTGCTACCTGCGCACATTTCTGTGAACAAAAACCACAATAAGCACAAAAAAATGAAGCTTTACTTAATGAGCTTTGCCTCCCAACTTCACCAGGAACACCCTATACATCAAGGCCAGTTACAGCACAGCTGACAAGCAGATACTTACCAGGGCTTAACAAATTACCAAGGCCCTGGCCACAGCACCACAGAGCTCTGCGTAGACAGGCTGATCTTATCCAGAAGGCTGGTAAATTAGTGTGAGCAAGCTATGCACTACCTGCTGTCAGTTCTTTAGAGCCACCTACCTCAAGGTTAGCTCATGTGTTTCTATACATTCCTTTAACTCCTGCCCCCTCATCCAAAGACTAGTAAGAAAGAATGGTCTGAAGTTGCATATGCACCATCAGTCTCTAACAACGAAGTGGAAAGAGATCTGGATCCTCCTGTAACACACTGGCAGAGACATTCCTGCAGCGTCCTCAGCATGGCACCTGATGCAATGGAACAGTCACCCTCTGTGAAACAAGAGCTACTCACCAGGTGCACTCTGTGAATATCGATACTCTGGAACTGAGGCTAACTTTGACCCAAAGTCGTGATCATGTGGAATGGGTGAGCCCTCCCGTGACAGGCACTCTGGAGTCTGTAGGCCACTAGAGTGAGGGGACAGCAGGCCAGGGTGAGTAGGGGAGGCAGGAGCACTCCTGAAACACCAGAACGTAGTGTTGGCAAGTATAGATGCATTTCGACCACAAGACAGCAGCAGAGACCAAAGGACAGCCTTTCTTCCACACTACCCACTATAGTCTTGCTGGGAAGAGTTGAAAGGTACACAGTAACTTCACAAACACTCTAGCACCAAATATTGTCATATTATTCCTCACTGAAGGAAACCAGACCCTTCAGAGTATGCTTAACATTTCATTTGGAGACCCACTGCTGACAGAGAAGCTGGAAGTGCCTCATGTTCAGATCAGTTTTATAATTTCAGGCCATTCTCAAAGGATCTTTGTCAGTGTTTGAGTGATGGGAAGAGGAAGAAAGAGGCAATGTAGGTGCAAGTGTCTGGCCCTGCATATGCTTACAGAGCAGTTGCTCCCTCTTTTCCCCATTGCCTCCCTCCCCAACCACTTGGTTCCCACCTCTGGTCCCATGTGGCCACCAAACACATGAGGAATTAAACATTTCTTTAACGACAAACAAGGTAGAGAAGCTGATCAGCTGAAAACCCCTCCTCCTGTTTCCTCCTATTTTAACAGACAGAAAAGAAACTAGGTGTGGGAAGAATGTTACATGAAACTGCTCCAGCTAGTGATGAATTGTAAGTCTTATCCTCACAGCTACAGGGCTCAGAAAGAGCTCTCATTGCACACTGCTCCTCTTTTGCAGTTACACCGCTAACTGGAGCGGCTACACAGAACACCCCCCCATTGCTTCACTGCTGACAACCATGATCAACCTGATCTTCCCTATCGGAGAATGGTTTAAATACCACAAAAGTTATTCCCACTATGATCTAATCCACACCTAAACACAGCTTTCCTGAAATGAGACTGGCATCTGAAAACACTTACTCCAGTGATAACTGCTTTGAATTTCTTTGAAATGATGCCAAAACAGGTATGTTATTTGATGTATTTTTGTAGTTTGGTTCTGGATTTTGTTTTTTTTGGTAAACTCTTAAGAAGTTGGAACAATTTTCAGATTATGCCTCAGGACTATCTAACTATATTACCTCTCAAACTATAAACAGAAGTAAAGTTTGCTCACTGTACCTCAGGAGAAGTTTTTGTTTGTTTTCTTTGTAATGAGTTTGGCACAGACATTAGAGGAAGTTGAAGTTACCTGGAGGAGAGAGGCCCAAAAGGTGTTCGGAAGCAGGACACTCCTCTTTGCCTTCGTTTTCTAAATGCTTGCTCTACTAGTTTGGCTTCAGAGGCAGGGTCAATTCGCCAAAAGGAGCCCTTTCCAGGCTCCTCCTGGGAGCGTGGGACTTTAATAAAGTAACGGTTCAAGGAGAGGTTGTGCCGAATGGAATTCTGCAGGAAGCAGAGGAATGAGATGATTATTTTGCCATAAGGAAGTATGTAACAAAGACAAATGGATTTCACCACACAGCTTGGAAAAATAAAATCCGCGCTGCCAGAATCAGTATTGAAGATAGAAACAAGTCACTCAACTCACACAGCTCCAAAGTCACAGGAGAACTGCAAGAAAAAGCCTGGGGAAACATGTCAGACAGTTTCTACCAACCATGCTGAAAGATGGGTTTGCTTGGTACTATACCATCACTTAAATACATCTGGAGCCAGGCAGTGCAGTAACTTTTCTGTGGAAAGCAATGAAAGCAGAGCTTTTGCTGAGGCAGGGGGAAATCACTGTAAACCACATCAGAACTCTCTCAAAAGACAGGCTTTATTCTAAGCAAGCGGAAAAAATTGCCTGAGCCTGTGCTAACTGCTTACCTGCCAAACAATTACTGGGGTGCCCAAACATGCCCTAAAGGACACTGCATCTCACAGTAATCATAATGCAAGCCAGCCAACATGCCCTCACAGACAGCTGTCTCCAAGAAGAATCCATTATTTATGTGGCACTAGCCTAGCACTGTATGGCTCTCCAGATGTTCTATGCTTCTAGGTTGACAAGACTATTTATCCTCCTCATTGCAAAAGCCCACCTCTGACTGGGTATAGCACTGTCATTTGGGCCAGGGGAAAGGCTCAGTAAGCTCAGGTGTGCACAAGCTCATTCCTCTTCCACTTTCAAAACAAAACAAGAGCTTCTGTAGCAGCTCTAGAGGAGCTCTTCACAAGTGAAGCCTTACAATGCCACTGGTAGGGGAGGGGAAAAGGCAACTTCACCCTCCACCGAAATGCTGCATCCTGCTTCAAAGAGCCGCAACTGGTTCGCAAGGCACAACTCTGCCGAGCAGGTTAAGGCAGGAAGTGAATTCCACAATTAATTACAACTGCAGGGAAAAGCCAGGGAGGCAGAAGTGTATTTATTCCAACTGTACTCAAAGTGCACCAAGCAGTACTGCTCCTGCCAGTTGAACACAATGAAATCAGCAGCTGCAAGAGTCTTTCCAGCTGCATTAGTGTATTATATTCAAATGACAACACCCATTTCAGAGGTGCGATGCCAAGAAAAAGTCTGAAAGCAGGTGGAGTTGAGGTTTCTGGAACATTGAAAGCAGCCCTCAAGTGAACACTTAAGCTTGATTTAGCATGTGTTAACTACATCCAAACTCTCCTGTGAAGCTGGTCAGATTTCCTTTAATACCACAAGGAAGGCACAGACTCAAAGTTCCCCAAGTTCCCATTCCGAGATTCAAAACTTGCAAACTGACTTAGGCAATGCAGTTGATACACTAGGAAAAACAAAACATCTGTGATGATTTAAGGTATTATGATTAAAAACTGGGACTTCAGTTTTAGGCTGGACATCTGCTGCTTGGACAGATCATGCCAAAGACAACGTAAAGGATTAAGCAAGATTCAGGCAAGTATCTGGGTAGAGCAGTGACTGATAGCAAAGATGTGGAAGAATAAAAAACAAACAAAAAAATGAAAGACACATGACTACAGCATTAAAAGGGTTTCAGAAACCAGAGAGCCCAATAGTAACACACTATATTGCCCTAGAAAGTATTTAAGCAAAAGCAACAATGACTACTGACTACAGCATTAAAAGGGTTTCAGAAACCAGAGAGCCCAATAGTAACACACTATATTGCCCTAGAAAGTATTTAAAAAAAAACCTAATCACCCACAAACAAACCAGTTAGCTTATGTTAAACAAATTCACTCTGGGAATAGTCAAAGGAGCTCTATTCCCAGTGCCCCAAATCTTTAATAAATGCATTTCAAAGCAGATAAGCCCTGTCAAAGTAGTTTAAGAGCTTGTCAGTGTCAAGAACTCACCTGCCAGCCTTTGTCAGCAGTCCTGTAATATGGATAATGCTTGGTAATGTGGGCATAGATCCCACTTAGTGTTAATTGCCTGTCCTGTGCTGAAGATATAGCCTGCACAATTAGCTGAGCATAAGAATAGGGTGGCTTGGACTCATCCTAAGGAAAAAACCAAACAGAAATTTAGTCACTAACAAAGAATTCCTACACTAGAGTGTACCAACAACCCAAACTAAAAAAGCACATTGGGCTGTAGTTTTCACAGATGCTAAGAGAGCATCAGGGGCAACTAAAAGCAGCATCACCCTCTTCCCTTTCACTCCTGTTTTATACTGCCAACTCCCAATTTAGGCCAAGCATTTGTGTGCAAACAGGACTATAGGACTGAGCCAGATTAAAGTATCTCCTTCCCTCTCCCCACAAACACACACAAAAAAGCTAACTTTAATCTGATTCCATTCCCCACTGAATTTACCACACATGCTTACACCAGCACAAGGAACAGGATCGGGACAAGCAATTAGAAGCAAAGAGTTAGAGGGTGTAGGGTATAGTCACTGCTTTCCATGTTCATGAAACTAAAGCCTTCAAATCTGCCCAGCTACAACTGAACTTTGTTAGAAAGCATACTTGCATGAAACCTATCAGCTCTCCTCCCAGCAACAAGTCCAATATGAAACTTGATCCTGCCCCTTCCCTTCTCCAGCAGGATTTGTTTCATTCTAGGAACTTTAGTTTGTTTGCCAGATCTCATATTCCCAGCTTTTCAAATTACTCCATCAAGAACAGCCCTTCTTGACTCAAGGGAGAATTCAATCTACAAAAAAGCCATCTAGTATTGTGCTCCTCCACCCAATCCCAAATCAGGTGGTTTTGGATCTAGACCTTTAACTTTGATCTGAAGATCAGCTCACCAAAATTAAATTTTATCATTATAACTAAGTTATTTTTTAATCTAAATTCCCACTTGCTACTTATAACTAAGTTATTTTTTAATCTAAATTTCCATTTGCTACTCTTCTTATTTAATGCTTGCTTGACAGGCCTTTGTGTTTGTTTTCAAGTCAGACTACAAATTTCTCATGGCAAAGATCTAGTTTCTTGCTCTGCTTCCCCCTTTCTCCAACTGTGTTTTGCAAAATACCATTAATTAAAAGGAGAAAACAAGACTGAATTTTAATGCACCTCTTCTTTATGGGTTCTTGATTTATCAAACAAGCAAAAAATTCTTCTTGCTTATCCATTTTAGTGAATGACTTGAATACATTTTGGGCAGCTAAGCAAGCAGATTCATCATCTACCACTAGTAAGACGCTGGTTTGAAGGCATGGTCTCAAAACCCTGGAAGATACTGTATACAGCGCCCTTATGGCCAGGGTATTCTTGGACCCCTTTTAACTTTATCCAACACTGGCAATAAACTACCAGGTCTTTATAAGTCTCCCAGTGAGCACTGTTGGGTAAGTAATGTTTCTCTGAACCTTTGGGCTGTCCCCGCCAGATGCATCTGCCTGCTGTTCTGATGCTGCTTTTGCGGCATACTCTGCTGCCAGCTGCAGATCTGAGGTAATGTTGTGAACAAAACGATATCCTGAGGATCCAGCACCACGTGGACTGGCCGGGCAAGAGTTGGGAACACTGGAGAGGCAAAAAGGAAATAGTTATTCGTTACTTCATTTATTAAAACAACACATAGTTCTCACTCTCTAAGGTAGTAAAGCTCCCAGGTCACCGCAAAGCAGATATGCACTGGACTTATTTTTGCCCCCGTGGCTTATCCAAAGTCCAGACAGATTGAGAAAAAAGTGTCAGAAAATTGGAATTTCTACAAAATCTCTAAAAAATCTTGAAATTCCCCCCCCCCCATCTTCTGCAATCACAAGACAGCAGAGTCTCAAAGTATTAAACTCCTCTGCATTTAAAGAAGCACTTAAAACAATGCAGGACTTAAAACAACATACACTGTATCAGGGATGAATACTTAAATAAATAAATAGCTTGCTATTATAACTCATGAATGAACAGCACACCACTCCTTATTATACAAGTAATATTTAATCCAGCCTTCTAACAAATACGGGCTATGTTCTTGTATAGTATCATAGTTAAAGCACCCAGTGCAGGCATCTGCCATGAACATCCCTGTCTAACACAACACCCGAACTTCATACCTCGATCAGTGCCACACAGCTAGAGACAGGTATTTCCTTGATTCACCAGCACACAAATGCAGCTAACAAGGGAGCTGCAACAATTACTGGTATACAACACAGAAGGCAGCTCACTCATCAGCTTTGGCTAGCATAAGGAAAAGACACGTTTAGAGTTTCAGGACCACCACAAGATGGCATTACAGGAACAACTACTGAGGAAAGCCATGCTAAAGCTGATAAAAAGCTACAAACAAATAAAAGGTGGCTATAATTTGCAGCACCACTCAGGCACACAGAAGTGAGTGCTACAAGATGAGAACTAATCAGAAAGGCTTGTCTAGGGATCACATATCCTTGATTGGTGGGGTTGGAAGGACAGGAGGAGAGGGATGAGTCTGGGAACCTGAAGTTCCCTTTTTCTGTGTCTTTCCTCTGTTCTGTCATGTCCGGCATCAAGGGATGCAACGCCAGAGCAGCTTGATGCATAGCCAAATCCCAGGATTACCAGTGTCTTCTATGTAAGGAGAGAGAAACAGTGAACAAGAAAGCAAAACAATACACAGAAGACTTACATAGTGAAACAAGCAGTTGAAATTGTAAGAAAAGATGCAAAGTGAAGCCCACAGCTGGGAACCAGAATTCAGTAAAACTGGCATAAACAATCCCCTTCCTAGTCAAATGCCCAACAGCAGTGCCAACCCTGACACAAATAAATGCAGTAACTGACACTCATCACAGCACTGTGCTAAGCGCTGCATGAAAAAACAAAGAACATGGTCCCTTCCTCAAAAAGGTGACTGTCTAAATAGCTTCCCCCACACGCATGTACACATGCGGATGGAGAGGAAACAGTGAGACAACCCTTGTTTGCTCAATGGGCAATACCTTTGGCGCATAAGCAATCTGACAGTGTAAGGAATGACTGTTTCCTACCGCAGTCCAGCCTGTAAACTGAGAAGTGCTGCTTCTCCTTGTGGCGTCTTTGCAAATGGCTGCAGTGCTGAGCTCAGCACAACCGAGACTGGTTTCTTTTAAAAGTGAATTACAGGATCAGGGGGCCGGGGGAGAGGGAAAACGCAACAAATATTCAGCCACAACAAACCCTTACAATAGGAAACCCAAGCTTACTCATCTCCCATACACTAGCCATGCAAAGTGTTGCACAGCACCTGGTAACCCTTTCAGCGCTCACCGATAGTCCTTGGCATTAATGGGTGATGCTGTTCAAAAGTGCAGCAGGAGGTGAAGCTTTCAGGAGGTGCAAGGTATATAATGTTGATGAGGCCATATGTATAAATCTCCCTTTGCCAGAGATAAAGGCATTTCTTACCTAGTCTTTCAAAAAGCAGAGACCCATTTGTGCAGGAAAATGAATCAAAGTTCGCTATTCCATGCTTTGAGCCCACTTTGGAAGTGGATAATGCTAAACCACAGAAGACACTCTTGATGTCTTAGTATTCACATGGGCAGCTGGTGTGAATTTAATTATTCCGCTGTCATTTTTCAACAGCTTCTCCACATACACACTTCTTATAATGTGTAGATAATTACAAATGAAAGTCATTTTCATACATGAAACAATGACAAACTAAAAACACAGCAATTCTTTGTGTTTGGCACCTGAGCAATTATTGTAACACAGGGACTAGGAATGGAATAGGATGAAACAGAGTTTTCTGATTTTGTTCTTTGTCTGCAGAAATACATGAACAGCAAACCACAGAGACAGCAACCAAAACTCATGTCAGGGATATGGAAAATAAAAAGTTCAAGTAAATCCATGCTCTGCACAGAGCTATATTTCTTTGGGTTTTTTTTAATAAATAAAACTAGTATGACTTCAAAGATTATCCCATGCAGTTCAGACAAGAATTGATTTGATTCAAGATCAGCAGAGAAAGTAGCCCAGATTTTGCTGTTCAAATTTTAGCTTCTGAGGCTGATAATGAGCTTTAAGTATGATCTCTTGCCTTTTTTTTTTTAAAAAAGGGAGAAACCCTTACCCTCCAGGGCTGTGATTCTCGAGTGCTGACAAAGCCTCTCCAACCTAAAGTGTTGTTAACTTTTAGAAAAGCTAGTCTTTCCCAGTAGACAGTCACTGAAGAACCTGATAGTCCCCTAAAAAAGCAGCTGTCCCGTGGGACAGCCACAGCAGTAGCCAAAGATTTGGAAGAGGTATTACTCTTTTACCAGAATGGAGCACCTCTGCCCAGGTAGACCTGCCTCCTTTCAGCCTGGATCAATGATCAAATCAAGAGACAGGGGTACAGAACAGACATGAACTTTTACCTGCTCCATGCAAAGAGAGTGTAACACATGCTGCTAAGCGTTCAAGCTCACAGTCAATCCAGAGCTCTTCAGAGGGAAGGGAGAAAGAGCTGACCACCAGAAAAAACAAGGAGGCACAATCTATTCCCGCCCCTCTCCCCCCCCCCCAACATGGGACAGAAGGAGTGAAGAAGCAGTTTTACTAAAAATACCCCTCTGAGGGTTAAGTTAAAATTAAACATTAGTGCAGTCAAAAGAAAACAAGCAAACACAATGCAGTGACATCAGTTTCCTGGAGTTCCTGGAATTCTCCTCACCACCCAGAGCCCAGGCTGGCCGGGGATGCTTGCATGCACTCACACCCCCTTTATAAATATTATGGAACAAAAAGACTTTTCCCTACAAACACTTGTTTGTGCTATATAACAAAAATCAAGTGTGGGGACAATGATTACGATTTTTTTGGATATTAATATCGCACCAGTACTTGGCAATAGCTTAATCCATTTTGATACTATAACCTTTTACTGAGAAAAGCACAGCTAGGTTTGCAATTTCACCCAGCTCTCAGACATCCTAACTTACTGCTGTGATCCATGCTCACCGTCCATGCAGGCAATCTTAGCTTACAAGCAATCCAAGCTAATTTGGGTTAAGCTTGTCTGTTATGGAAGAGGGCATTTTGGAGAGGAAGCAAGTGTTTTATACCACTGAAAGACAGAGCACGTAAGTAAGCCAGCTGCAGTTACCCACAGTCTTAATCCCATGGCACCATGGTTAATGCCCCGAGTCCCAGAGATCTTTGATATTCACTGAGGATTCAGCATCTCAACTTGAAACACTGACTGCAGGCAGCCATTAAGCCGCAGTTCCTCAAATATCACGCTAAGACTCAGCTTTAGAGTCAGCCTACAACCACGTGCTGAATCACATCGGTCCTTTGCAGCATGTTTTCCATTTAATACTTAACCCTTCTTCAGCTGGAAGGCCAGAAAGATGAGGGTTGAACACAGTGTCTGCAATACAATCGCCCATGTAACAGGCAGAATGCCTTTTAAACACAGGGCTTAACTTCTGGCTATTGAGAATGTAACAGGTCTGGTAGCATCACGACTCACTTTCAACTCCTGCCAACAAGAATCTAGCCTCTTAAGTTCACAGCACTTTCTAGCAACAATTAAGTCTTCAAATGCCAGCTATTGGAGAATATGTACAACTTACTGGAGTGTCCAAAATCGGTTTGCTTTAGTTAAAGAATCAGAGTGCAAAAATAGCATGTACCACTGTGTGCATGGTGTGTCCACACCCAGGATGCTGTATGTTTCTTGTCTCTTCTCATTAAAAAAAGAAAAAAAAAAAAGATGGATACAGCAGATCCAGAGAAGGCACTGAAGGGGATAACTAGGATGATCAGAGATACGGAATGGATTCCATACAGGAAATAAATAGTTTAAGACAGAAGCTGAGGTGCAAGGTCACAGAGCCTATAAAAACAAAGCCAAGAGGAGGTGTTCAGCTCCTGGCCTCTTCCAATAGAAGAGATGGTGAACACAAAATGAAACTAAGCAGCATGTCCAAAACAAGAGAAAGTGCTTCTATGTTTGTAGTTACACTGTGGAACAAAATGCTGTAAGACAGGGATGATGTTAAGAGTTTATGTGAATGCCAAAGGCCATTATACAAGTTCTTGGGGAAAGGAGGAAGACAGGGAATCCATCAGGGGCTTTATTAGACAGAGGATCAGGAAACCCCTGCTCCGAGGCAGTCCCTGATCCATGAAAATGGTGGAGGGAGACTGCACGTAAGTTAGCATTACTGTATATTTTCTGTGTTCTTGTATTACCCCAAAGGTACCCATCTGAGGCAGAATACTGGGCTGTAGGGATCTGTTGCCTGAGCACACGTAGAGATTCTTACGTAAAAATCTCCACACTCTCTCAATACTAGCCACATTTTACAGACTGGGGCAGGGGGGGAATGAAGCAACAAGTGGTGAAATGATGTATTTATGGTCATATTACAAGTCTATAAACAAGCTGGAAACAGAAACACTCCCAAACTCCAGTGCCAATTTCCCCAGAAGGAGAAGCAGTACATGAATGCAGGAAAGTTGCCCTATCCATTAATTTCATTCTCTTCTGCAAGAAAGATACCTGTAGGGATCAAGTTACAGAGGCTTAATTTGAGCCAGGTATATGGATAAAGCACCTATCCTCT